TTGGCTGATCCTCGAGCTGCCTGATGTCAAGCAGTAGTAACAGAGATTTTTATTGCAAATATCTATGGATAACAATATATTTCCAAGTGAACATAGAATTTACATGGCAATATTGCAACAATAAACGTGGCATCAGTAAGTATTACAGAAATTGCAATAATAAATTCAATACATTTAAGATAGGACAACCATTTGGGTTGCAATCTATAATGCCACTATATAAAAATTGATTGTTATTGATTTTAATATGAAATGTAAAGAAATATGTATATGTATATTAATATATTATATGAATTTATATTAGTCATATATAAAGTGGTCAATTCATCGATTTAACAAAATATTAAATATGACCATTTTAGTTATACATTTTAACAATATACCTTAAACTGTTGTTGTGAAATGTTTTATTTCAATAATATAATAGCAACTGCGATGGCTGAAAATTTTGTACGAAATGATATTAATAATATATCCCCTATGAAATAAATGTACATTAAATAGAATTCACTTATTGGATTGAATAAATCGGTTTATATGTTATATTAGGCGCGGAACATATGACGTATGACATTCAATCAATCGGGAAAGTCTGCGATTGTCGGTGGTGTTCGCTCAGCAAGTGATGTCACAGTCCCTTCTATGTTTGAGCACTATATACAACATGGACTAGCAGTCCATGTAGTGTAATGTCTATGGTTTTAACATCTAATCCACGTCATTATGTAATTTATGCACAATTTCTAATCAATTTCAAAAATATACACACCCACACCGAAAGAAACAGAAGAAAAGGGTTAAGGGTTAATATTAAAATATGAAAAAAAATATAAAAAAATTATAAAATAGAAACATATTTGAAACAAAAAAAAACAATTAAATTATGAAAAAATTGAGAATAATTAGATTAATATCGAGTTTGATTATTGATAAATTGACACTTCTATTTTTCATTATTATATTTACATATTACTCACTGCGACATAACACTTCCAGAATCCATCGCAGCACTGTATATATAAAAACAGAAGATTATATTACTTTCTTCCGCATCTCCAGAAAATCTAATTTTAATTTTAATTTGAACCCAACACTTCTGAATATGTCGACATGTTATGTTTTCGGCTCGTTGAGCCCAACTGACTTGTTTCCTTCTTTCCATATTGCATAAAATTTAATGCACTCAAAACAAATGCAACTATGTACTAACAACGTCCAGAGTAAATACTTGTTCTGTGTTATTGGATTGGATTGTGCCTGTTTTACTACCGGGAATATTTATTGTTTTGAAAACAAAGCCAAGTTTTATTGCATTTCCTACAAACAAATTGTAAATAAATCGTTACAGAGTTAAATCTGCTCCATCTGTAAGTGAATTATTGGAAAATACCGTTGATAACATATGCGGAAATTTGTTAGGTGAATAAATATAATTACTTCAAATATCCATTAAAGATGAATCACAAGTCCATGAATTAAATCCATTCTGAACTATTTTAGTTCAAAATAAATATTATTCCGATCGTAGATTGAGTAACTACCTAATGAATGAATGAAGCGCTTACGATTTATTTAAATAAGCACAGAAGTTATTTTTTGAACAAGCTTATGTAATTCATATTACTTTAATGCACTAAGAAGGTTTTTTTAAGTAATTCTGAATCGATCGGTATTTAGAAAAGTCTGTTTATTGATTTTATCTGTTCATTAATATACTATTGATTTACTAACATATATAAATGATGAATCATTTATATATGTTATGCATATGTATACATGCATATATATATATATATATATATATATATATATATGTATAAATAAAAAATTGCATTATAGAACAGCCAATGTTTAGAAATAAAATAATTTTTTAATTAAAATTGTACAGCTTCTAGAATAAAATGTCTTACCAAACAGCTAAAAAAGTAACTAAATAATAATATAATCATACAAAAAATATTAACATTTAACAATTAATATCTGCATAAAAAACAAGAAAAACCACACAATTTATATGAAAAACAAATTAACTAACATTTTGAAACCTCAAATTATACATTTTTGTGTTTGAAAAATTGATAGAATGATCAGTAACATAAAAATGTCTATAGGAAAAAATATCTTCTGAGACCATAATTAGACAAATTTTGTCCTAAAAACTGTAAAATTTTAATTAAAAATTTATTTTATTTCAACGCGTTTGCTGTTAAATAATTAATTAATATGTGACTTCGGAAAGATGGAAAAACAAGTATAAAATATCTACAAAATTTATTTTTGCTAATCTAATATTCTAATTAATATATATATATATATATATATATATATATATATATATATACATATATATATATATATATATATATACTAGCAAACCCGACGAACTCCGTTTCGCTACCAGATGGTTTCGTGAGAAAGATGAAGAAATGTTTTGTTTGTTTTATATTTGAAAAGGAAAAATTAAATTTTATTACACAACAGTAATGAATTTATTTCGATTACAAAAATGAAGTGTTTTGTAGTTGAACTTCTCTAAGTAAATGAAAGTGATTCCGCAAATTATCCGTTTTATTTAAGTGCTCTTCGGTAAACCACATTTTTTGTTTTTTGGTCTGACGTTAACACAAAAAATGCGGATGGTTTCCGAACTCGTGAACAGGCAACGTATAACTGCCCATGTGAAAAACAATGATTTTCTAAATAATCTATTTAAAATTTATCTCGCAAACACTAAGCGATTAGCCTTGCGACTTGTTAATTGTCATTGCGAAAACAAGGCGAACTGGATATTGCAATCGTTTGAAGTCAAACGGAAGACCAGTCAGAATCATTGGTATGTCACCAAATCGCCAGCAATTTTTGAAATTCAGTGAATTCAGTGCGTGTACATCATTATTCTTTGCAGCAAGAATTGCTCGTTGACTTAACCAAACATAATTCTGATAATTCTCACTAATATCATCACTTGAATTTTTAATTACGGTGCGTGAAGTTCCAGCAATTTGCATTGAGGCACGATGCCATGCACCACTAATTTTCTTAGCTATAAACCTTGCGGAGCCCGGAATCCAGCGAATGCAAAATTGTCGTTCGAAACCGATTGAAATCGGTTCGTACGTTCTGGAGTTATATCGTCAGGAAAGAACACCCGACTTATTTTTATATATATGTAGATATATATATATATATATATATATATATATATATTATTTAATACTTAATATATTATAAATAAATATCTTAAATTTAGATGTAGTAAATTTGTTCAATATTTTGCCTTTTATACTTACCATATTAAGAGATGGCAAAACACATTCTTGTAAAATATTGTTGCACAATATTTAGCATCTTTTTGGTAAGCAAGTTATAAATATATCATCAAAATCCTATTAATGGCATCTTAGTTAAAAAACCAATTATAAGGGTCCAAGAAAATTTTTCCTAAATCTTATACCACATAGTAAACCAACTAGTTGCTTGGACATTTCATATCGTTTGTTTTTAAATTATGTTCAAATTGAGCCATACTGCTTATAATGTTTTTTCAAAAAAACGATCCTGGAAGAGAGGTTAATTGTATACATTAAAAAAAATTACAAAAATGCCATATATAATAGTTTTTCAAAGCTCCAATAAAAAAGTAAAATTGCATTATTTTGTTTATTAGTCTTAATATTTTAATCATCAAAAAGTATCACATATAACGAAGAACTTTTATAGAAATAATTTTCGTTATTTAGTTAAATCATTTCTCACTCATTTTAATATATACAATTATTAATAGTGTTATAAGTAAAAACAGTATTAACATTCATACTACTTGCCTTTCCCGATTTTTTTCTTCACTCAAATTATTCGTTATTTATCTATATATTTTAAATAAAAAAAGTTTAAAAAAAACGAAAAATTAATTAGTTAAACCATTTAGACTGAAATTCAAAACATAACAGTTGTGTGAAGTTATATAGGGTTAGAATAAACCCTTATATAGTTATCAATAAACACAAAGCATTAAAATTGGTATATGAAAAACTAAAAGGTGTTTGAAGCAAGAATCTCCTCAAATAAAATTCAGCATTTAATAATGCTAATATCCACTGATCCCATATGACAAAAGTTTAGCTAAAACTGATATTATTTTTTTAAATTTCAATTACATTCATCAAAATTCCATATTATAATATGTTATAACCTTATTTTATTTTGACTATTTTTATAAACGGTCATAGAGATTTTTCAAAATAAAAATTGGTGCACCGAGAATATCAAATCTTCAACACACTATTATTAGAAACATGTTATGTTACCACTGGAGACTGGTAATATAAAATAATTATGTTATCCGAGAATAGTCCCATTAACTTGTTATTAACAAAATTTATTGATATAGGGTCCAATTCTTCTGTAAAATAGACCGTAACATAGCGTTGTTATGACACTGCCAAATAGGACACAGGACACAAAAACTGTCAAATTGTCAAAATTTTGTCCGTTTTCTAGATTAGAATAAAACGTCAATAAAAATGTTATCATAACTATCTTTCTAATGCATCTAAGTCAACAAACAGCAGAAGAAAAAGTCTAATTGCACAGCAAACACATAGCATTTTAACAGTTTTTACTACCAATTTATATGAAGAAAGGAGCGTAACACAGCGTTGCTATAACAACGCTTAGAATTTATTTTATCAGAGTGTTATGGTCTATTTTATCAGAGATTGGCGACATAGTAACCATTGACCAACATCTCTTGCCTGATATATATTGTTATATGTTATTAGTATCGGAATTTGAAGAAAAACCACAGTTATATCCAAATCGAATAAGTTACCTTGTTACAAGAGTAGCTGATAGAAGCCCATTAGTTGATTGATAGGAAACAACTCTGTACCAACTTACCAGCTTTATTGTTACTAACCTAACACGTCCACAGTCCTGTTAATGTAAATACCAATAACAAAGATATTGCTTTAAATAACACAAAAATGGACCAAAATAGTTCATGTTCTCATTTCTTTAGGTGTGAATCCATACGGCGAATATGGGGGTCCCAAAGGATGGAACCTGGTCTCGGGAACCTGGCAAGGTAGCGGCGTCACCGGCCTGGAATTGTTTTCGCCGCTGCGGTCCTGGCTGTCGGCATCGCTGCAGCAAATCGCTTGACTAATTTCGAACGCGCTCTTTGAACAAAACGATCCCTGAAAATACACATATTGTTAGTTAAATTGATCGGTTTCGCCATACATCATAAACGGAATTCGGAATTCATTTATAGATTCTAGAAATTGACTTTAAGTGAGTGAATGACTCTACTTTTGATTTATAAATTATAGGTTTAATGAGCAAACAATAGTCTCTATGCACTGTAGTATAATAATACTGCTACTGTTAAAAATTTTGTTTCCGACGATTTTTATGATTTTTTTTTTGACAGTAAATACCGTAGTCTTATAGATCATACTAAAATATTACTAAAATATTAATTTTGTTTCCGACGATTTTTATGATTTTTTTTTGACAGTAAATACCGTAGTCTAATAGATCATACTAAAATATTACGGCTTATTAGATCAAACTACAATATTACTTGAAATCAATACAATACAATACACAATATTTTTTAAAATTAGACGATTTACTTGGTATAACGATAGAGTACTTGGTCTTAATGAACATACTAAAACATTAAAGTCCTAGGAAACTAGTTCAATTATAAAAATTGTTGATTTTTGAAAATTTGCTTTTAGAAAATACTCCGAGTTTACGTGTTCGTTCGTTTTTAATTATGTATAATAAATCCACTCGGAATATTTTTAATCACTCATAAATTTTTTTATTTTTTATTGATCAAGTCGATTATTTTCACATATCGGGAAGTTCATGTAACTTGCCACAAGGCAAAATACTAATACCAACTAGGTTAGAATTTATATTGTGCATCAAGTTTATATAATAAGAGTCTATAAAAATTGCAATTTTTGGTTTACTATTCATCAATTTGAACAGCTACAGATATCAGAATGGTAAAATACAACCGTCAGGACTATTCAGGAGATATTCTACTAAATTTTTGATAATTAAAAGTTGTAAAGTAAATGATTTCAAATCATGGGGTTTAATAGTAAATTTTATAAACATATTTTCTATATATAATTAATAACTAAGAATGTAAAATATTTATTGACCAGTCACTTTTTGGTAGGTCGGTCCACATAAATCATACGAATTCAATTTTGTTATAATATGATAATTTATTTTTACACTAATTTCTTAATTCATAATCCCATAATATTTTAGGTTGTACATTGAAGTAACTTAAAGTTTCATCAAAATCGTAAAAAAATTAACAACTAGCTCCAAACCAATTATCCAGTTTATCTTCAAAATACGAATCACCATACCCAACTAATATTCTTCGTACAATTTTAAAACATTTTAATTGGTTTAAGTTTTCTGGCTAAAACAGAAAAAAAAACTCGTAATTGCAAAAGTTTTAAAGTTTTAAAATCTGTGGAGCTGTTTTTAAGAAAATGTTAACGAAAAGTCAAATTTTGGCTCACATATAAATTATATATTCTCCTCAGTCGTTTAGTTTGTATATAGAAAAATTCATGATAGACTATTCATCAGAATTTATATTTTTGAAGTAACTATGAATTAGAAAGATTTGATATTAGTTAATATTAATTATTGCAACATAATGTTTTAACAAAATTTAATACATCAAATAATAATAATTGCAAAATCAATTAGAAATATAAATAAAATGCATATCAAGTGATTTAGAATTCTGTTTCCAGTGAAATTTGAAAAAAAAGTTTTATATAATGTGCATATAATAAAACACGGCTCAGATTATATTATAATAATTATTTATTATACCAATATTGAGTCCACTTTATAATTATTCTAATTTCTTAAATTTATTATAACTATATAACAAACAGAATTCAAATTCTAAAGATATGAATTTTTATATACAACATTATCGCTTATTTAATTTAATGAATATCCTTAATACTTTATTATGACATTTATCAATAAAAATATCTTAAGATTATTTCAGATCAAAAGGTAATAACGTCGATGATTAATCGATCAATGACAACCACAGGTGAAAATCTATGTCTATACCAATCTAAGATTTCTGCGATTGTTATTGATCTAAATATTTCTTTTTTTTTCAATTCAATTTTAGAATAAATCATATGTTGAAAACAACATTTTTTACAAAAAAATAAAAAAAAGTTTTTGTACATTTTAAGATACAGTTAAATAGAAGTTTTAATTGTAACTAAGAGAGGAATTAGAAAAGTTGATTACATCATTATAAAAATCATTCATATATCTATGCCATAAACTACATCAAAATCTTTATATTACATTTCTAAATTAATACACTGTGACATACAAGTTGCAAAATATTTCATATATAAAAAATGTAATAATATTTTTATATTAACGACACACCATATTGTTCAAAAATCAAAAACAATATAGTGTACTCAAACTTTCTTGAAATCTCACATAACTGAAATAACGGTAAACTTTGAAACACTAAAAATTTAGAAAATTTTCAAGAGATGAAAATTTATAATTGGGAATTTTTATTTATAGGTACGATTTTCAAAATGATAGACGTGCGTTTTCTAAATTATAAAACGAATTTAAATAAAGTAAATTGAATGAACATATTCTAATAAAAGCATTGAAGTTATTGCTCCAAATAAATTAAAGATGTATGATAAATATAATGTTATTCTACCATGAAAAATTAATAAATGAATGAAAAATTGCACATGAGAAAATGAATTTTATACCAGAAAAATGGAATCAAATGGAAACAATTACAATTCATCGCGAAGTTTAATAGTGTTAACAACCATTCATTAAAGTTAATAAAAATTAAACTTTATTTTTTTGTTAATTTATATAGAGAAAATTATTTTAACAGTTTTCTAATTGTCAAAAATTTTGAATCTGTAAATAAAGGCTAAAAATGTTCTTGCAAAGCGCTAATAAATTGATATACTTCATATTTATACTATAGTATTCAACATGATTTTTTATATATAGAAAGTAGAATAGCAATTAACTAATATAAAAATATCACATTTTGCCTTAAGTTATAAATAATTCTGCTATAATAAAACGAATAAATTGTTAATGAAGCAGTTCTACTATAAGTTAAATTATGAATCCATACAAAAATGTGGAATGATAGGATAGTTGACAGTAATATTAAACATATATGGAGGTGTGGTCTATATTAAATACCATAATTATCCAAATTGTAGTCATAATAAATTTTATGAAATATTATGTTTTATACTTTGTTTATTTTATGTATGATTAGTATTGACGACACCATGTGTCATCATATTGAAAATTAGTATATAGAATTATATAAATATTATCAAATTATTATATTATTATCAAAAAACTACAAAATAAATTGATGATCATAACATTTGCACGGCGCGAAGATTATTTTCCGAACTTAACTCAAAAGCAAAATTTTTATTAATTTTAACTGTTTCCTATAATTAATAGAATAATAAAATGTTAAAATTTCAATCAAATAATAATTTAGCATGGTAATTGACCAATCTTAAAAGAAAAACTAGTTGCATGTATTACAACTTACAACTATACGATAAAAATATATTTGAATCATGAAGATCTATTTATGCAGGATACTACTTTATAATATACTTCTAATTTTGAATTAATGTCTATGATAACTAAGGAAAATCTTAATTGATGATTAAACTCAAAATTACATCCAACTCTCTTCTCTTCATGCAATAAATTAATTTGAATCATTTAATAAAAAATTGATTAAAATTTATATTTCCTATTATGTGTCAACTACCCTATCAAGAGCAGTAATGATATTTATCGTTTATTTGAAAAGTAATGTAACAAATTTATAGCTAAACATATAATATAATATTTTACAGTAATTTTGAAAAATATTAAATTTAACGATGATATTTTGCTGATATCCAACCGCAAGTGCTTTTTATATTAAAATCTTCGGCGGCTTCGGAAATACTCACGATTCATGTAAATTTTAATCGAGATGTGGACATGAAGAAAATGATCGAAACGTCGTCTATAAAAGAAAATGAAATTTTGGTTGATGTCTACGATTTAGTAAAGATCACAACAATAGCAAAGCTTAAACAAAAGATAGCAGGCGGATTTATCATTAAGGAGATGTATAGGCAAATAACGGCGCCAATAATCTGATATAGAGCGATGTTACGGCAACGCTATGTTGCGGTCCGTTCTTTATATGAATTGGTAGTAAAAACTGTCTAAATGCTATGTTTTGGCGATCAGGCGTTTTAGATATAAACCTTAACCTGAAAACTGTACAAGAGCCAAAAATAAGAATTTTAGTTTTATAGCATAGCATTTTTCTGATGCTCTTCTGACATACATGAAATTAGATTTCATGTGCCTGTTTATACAGAGAATACATAGCATTCTGACAGTTTTCACTACTAATTTATATGAAGAAAGTACCGTTACATATCGTTGCCATAACAACGAAGAAAGGACGGTAACATAACAACGCTATGTTATTATCTATTCTATCGGAAAATTGGCCCCAAAGAAGCTAAAAAAATTAAAAAATTTCTAGGCTACAAAATTGCACAAAAATGCTCAAGCTGCTGAATAACAACATCAGATTTCACTAACAACGTCAGTATGTTTGTATTCCAACTGTTGCACAATTTTGTATTATCAAATAATTAAATCAAATATTTATGTATAGTTCAAGCATGCAGAGATTGAAAGATATCTACTAAATTTGATTGTTTTTTAAAAAAAAACTTTAGCTTTGCAGAAAAGTAAGTTATATACTTAAAAATATCATATGTTGAGATAAAAAACAGAAATACCAGCGAACGAATTTATTTTAGTCTGTATTATGGTTAAATTTGTAAAAAGCAACTTTTCTGATCTGACAATGTATTTTATGCATTCTCGAATTTTCATGATATTTATAATCAAATACTTAAATCGTAACTTGTAATTTATCAGAAGTCCAAAAGAAGTTTTTATAGTGATATCATAGGAACTTATGAAATTCTTACAAGAAAATTTAACTTGCAGATCAGAAAATTATTAGGAATGGACCTTTAATTAAATTATTATGATTCGTATGTAATAGCTTTTGTAAAAAAGTTCTTTTTGACTTTTTTATATTAAACAATTGTTAACGCTTTGCACGCAGTTAATCAATAACACACATAGCCATACTTATCTGGTAAAAATATAAAATTGAATATAATTATAATTGATTTTATTTATTTGTTCTGTTTGTTTGTTTGAAATAGTTCAATTAAAAATATGAACCTTTTTTATCGCAATTGAAACAAATGTCGGAAATACATAATACCCTAGGTTAGAAGACTATGTACTAAATTATATTGTACCATAACATCTAATGTAATAAAGAAATTTGAATAGAATTAAATTAAATTACAAACTATCTGAAAATTAAAAGCTTATATTATTTGCAAAGAAAAATAATATAACATATAATCAAGAAAAACTGCTATAACTAACTATAACTAATAAATAACTCTGGTTAAAATTGGTATAAGGATAGAAATGAAACAAAACATAACCTGAAATGTGATCTATCAGATCTATAAAAATTTAAATAAATTTTTATAGATCTGACAGTTACTTGATATACCAGCTGATATTTTCAACTTGTAATAAAAACTAAAATCTAACTCAAAAATAACTGCTCATTTTTCATTGGCAACTAACAATAAACTAATATATAATCTTACATTATCACAACCTCGAGGAAAAAATAATTTAAAAGTGCCGAAAACATAGCATTATCTTGGCGAATCAAAAACGTGCAGATGATTTCTTGATATTGGAGATAAATGTCGAACCCAAGGATGTCTCCGTAGAATTGAAACCCGAAAAGTACAAAAACGCTTACTTTCTAAAAATATTTAATTTTAAGATTTATCTAAACTAACCGAGCATTGTAAAATGAATGCTATTTAAAGTAGTTTTATTTTTTCTAAAGTGCATTCACACGCACATGACGATTTTCACATAATCAACAATCACTAATGATTTTTCACTTGATTGATCACTAATGATTTTTTTTAATGTATATAGAAATATTGTTACTCAAATTATATCTAGTTTTCTATCTAACATACGATTTTGGCAGAATTTTAATATAATGTTAGTCTTCCATATATCAATCAATAAACGATACAAAAACAATTTATTTATTGGGTTTACTTTGAGTAGATTTATAATTTATTTTATTGCAAAATTGAACAGCAATTTATCTAAAAGTAAGGTCTTTGTCTAGTTCGGGTTAAATCGACTTCGCTTTTGTTCATTGTCTGCAAAAGTAAAAAAAAATATTTTAGTATACTACAAGTGATAGTAGTTAGTTAGATAGTTTAAATAGGATTTTTTAAAAATTTGTTGATTGATTTTATGTTAACGGTTAACAGCCTTGAGTTCGAACACGTGTACTCATTTCAAAAATTTTGAATTTATTATATACGATGTCACAGTGTATTTTAGTTACAATGCGCTTCCACGAATAAAACTTTTAAACATTTAACAATCCTAAATATACTTTTTGAAATCCAACAGCGAATTTAAATAATTTTATATAAATAACTATAAGAACACAGGTTCACAAAAAATAAAAGTTGCCTGTTTCGGATGTGCGACATATGTTTTCTGATGTAGTTTTTATCGCTGAACACAAATCTAAAGTCAAAATTTGGGGTCAAAAATGACAAAAAATTAGAAAAAAAGACAAAATATCCAATCTAGTCATTCTTCTGCATGTTATTTAAAATCTTATAATTACTGTTGTTTCCTGGTCCTTTTTACTTTGAATGACTATATGAGTAGATTGAGACCTAAATCAACTATAAAATGTACAATAGAGCAGTAATTTGCCAACACATTTTCAGATATCCATATTGCAATTATGGTTTCAGATTACCCAGGGGCAACAGGGAGGAAATATTTTTGCAAATTATACAAAGAAAAACTTAATAGATCATGTAGTAAAAACTCAATAGTAATTTGAGGTAAAAGGGGCCAGGAAACGACAAATATTGCAAGTTTTTGATTATTATGCAGAAGAATTACTAGCTCGGAGATTCTGCCATTTTTTTCTAATTTCTGGCCATTTGACTCCAAATTTTGACTTTAGATTTGAGTTTAGCGCTGAAAACTATATTGAAAAAATACCGCATACCCGATTGCTTTAACAAGGATTTAATACTAATATATAAATACTATTTTTATTATAATAATAATTCAACAATTCTATTATCAAGCATTAAACAAATAACAAGAAAAAATCGTATAATTCAAAATTTTCTGATATCAATAATGTATCTAACAAATATAGTTATAAAATATTTTAACCATTTTGAAAAATAGCATTATATATTTTAGTGAATCTGATAGGAAATTTAACAATGTTACGTATGTAGTTATATTCTTTAATAAAATTTGATATTTGCTATTCATTGATATTTGCTGGCCTTTATATTCAAAATATTCTTACAGAAATTCAATTCAATAAATATAAAATTGTTTTATATTATTAAAGAACCGATTCTGCCGCGTAACAGACCAATGTTATGGCAAGGCTATGTTATGAAGAACTTTCCATAGAAATTCATTCTAAATATTGACAAAAACCTTGTGGTTGCTGTGCAGTTAGGCATTTTTCTCAGGATGTCAGATAGATAACCTAACCTAGAAACCGCACAAATGTCAAAAAAACGATGTGACATTGCAGTTTATGTGTAAAACGCCTAAATGCACAGCAAATATATGATATTTTGACAGTATTCAGTATAATTCACTAGCATAATGTATGCAATTTGGAGCGTAATATGGCCTTGCCATAACATTTGTCTGTTATGCGTCCCTAAAGTTAGCAAAAATCGAACTTAAAATTATCGTTGATAATACGGAATTTTGGTATAGCGTTATTGCAATAATGGTATTTGCTCTGAGTTAATTAGTAGAGAACAATAAATATTTTGCTGTATTTAATTAGGAGATTTAACAGGCGTATATTCTTTAAATCGTTGGCTTGGGTTAATATGATGCAATTGAACACATTGGTTTTGTTAAATGTATGTAAAGCTTTATTCGTGAAAACGCAAGATTACAGCTAAGTATCGCCCAAATACTGTTGGCTTACCCGTTCTTCAACGGCAATCTTCCGACTTTTCCATACAAATTCACAAACGGCTATGATGCAGGCTACTCCCATTCCGGCCATAAGAACTACAAAAACTCCGCCAACGTTGGCTAGGCCCAACTCGTTGGCTTGCGAACTGGCTTTTGTTGCCTCTTCCTGAAATTTTATAAAATAAATAGAAAAGGTGTTCAAATTATTTCGTAGATAGTTACACCACGATTTGGTCTTAATGCTGCTATTGTTTTCATCTATTTTAGATACTGTTTAGATATGTTTATAGAAAATATATTTATTTTCAAGGTAAGATCTTCAGTGATTAATGGAGCATTCAGCTATATATTAGGTTGGGCAAAATAAATCCTTTATATTTTCGGTAGATGGCTGTAGGTACAGATTTCTCATGAAGTATCATTCAAACAATTTAAGATTTATGCTCATTGAAAAGGTGACATTTTGCAGTAAAAAAATCTTTTGCTGTTTTTTGTTTTGTGCATTCAGTTGTGAGTTACAGAGTGTTAAAAATGAAAGGGAGAGAAAATTTTACTGTTTTTCTTTGACAAAGACAAAAACGCGAAGCTGAAATTGTAATAGTGTTTGTGGATTCGATACTGAAGAAGCCAATTATGTGCAATTTTGATTTTGTAGATTTCGTTCAGAAGATTTTGATGTCAAAGATGCACAAGAAGATCGGTCGTCAAAAATGTTGATGAAATAGGATGATATTATTAATATTGACAGGCATTTTGGCAGTCGTAACATTGCCTAGAAGCTAAAAATTGACAATAAAACAGTTTTAAACTAATAATTTTTTTTTCTCCCAACGCCATATAACTTCAAATCTAATACCACGAAAATATATTGTAAAATATTTACGTATATGTCTAAACAAAAAATTAACATGGTAATCACATGAAACAGTAATTGCGTAGATTTTGAAAAACAAATCTGAATTTCAATAGAAAACAGTAAGTTCGGTTTTGACCTAAAATAGACTATGGCAAGGCTGACTATGGACTGCTTGACCCGTACGGCTGACATGTGGTATAATATATATTAAAAGGTCTACAGTGACAGCCCTCAATCTATGGAAAAGATATGTACAATTCATTAGACATATAGTACACACGTAAATATTTCGTGCCAATACTAAACGATACATAACAATGAATCAAGCTTTATACATTTTATTAGATAAAATCAAAACAATATTGTTAATTACCGCGCAAGCTCCACCGCCTCGTTTTTCTTTCCACCACCTCCTTTTTAGAATATGCAGTTTACCCTCTTCTTGTAATTTTAAAACTGCATTACTAATGGCAGTGCGATATGGAGAGTCTGAAACAACAAAAATTAGAATACTGCATATATAAACATTTAAATTAATTAAACATTAGAATATTGCATAAGAAAACACTTAATTTACATGGTGATGTACCAGTTTATGCAGTTTCCATTCGTTTTCTATGAAAATTACACTAGAGAACAAACAACAAGAACTGACTGAAAGGTAATTAAAATAATTTTTAGATAAAAATAATATAATAATATTACACCTTGAAATCATATTTCGAGTTTTCATCATTGTAATGCGATCGTTTCGAAGCTTCTTTTGTATGAGTATGACAAATTTTTATTTATTTTTCTAAGTATTAATGTAACAAACTTGTAATGCGATCGTTTCGTAGCTTCTTTTGTACGAGTATAACAAATTTTTATTTATTTTTCCAAATATTAATGTTAAGATATATCGAAAATATTAAGAATCATTTAAACACTAATAATTACATGAATATTTCTCAATTTATTAACAATGACATATTCACTAGTTGAAACTAGTACAATGAAGATATCCTAATATAACACCAATGTTTTTATTCGACGTAATGACCAATAACATTATTATTCCTGTATTATTCTCCACAATTAAAAATTAACTAATAATAAAAATGCGATTATAATAATTATAAAGAATTTCACATTAAGTTACGGTTTTTCATAGCAATAATATTAATATTTGTAACAGTTTCTTAATCTTAATATCGCAGTAGAGTTCAAACTCTAAATGAACATCTTAAAATATTAGAGGTCTGAACAAAGTTGTGGTTTATGTGTCTGAAAGATTTTAATTGAAAACTTTTTGGCTATTTGCTTCATTTAATAGTAAAAGCAAAGTTGAAAATTTCAACTTATCAGCTACTTCTGGATTCTATTTATAAGGTTGAGTATATACTCATATCGGGAAGTTGATGCAACTCGCACCTAGTTAAATATTGTTCTTTTTATGAAATAAATGTATGCTGTAAAGTTCGACAAAATAGCATGTACTATAGAGAGAAAGAGCAAAATGTATTTCTTATTGTAATTTTAATTTTATTATAAATCGGTAAAAATTTTGGTTGGTATCTTGTTAATGCTTTATTCATGTACTATATATTTCTCAAAAAGTTCCAACTTCCTAGTTAGCCAGACAATTATAAATGATTAATAATTTATTAATTATCACTTACTATGAGGCATAGCTATTCCATAGCCTTTACTATCAAGTAATCCTCCGACTTGTGTAAGATCACAATTTCTTTCGATGACGTATTCGATGGACGTAGATTCCATTAAAAATGCGTAGGTGCCACGCCCCCGGACTACGCGTTCTACGCCTTCTACATTCGACGTAGTAAACACTTCAGGTCTTGTTGATTCCATGAAGGACCACATTCTTTGATAGGTCGTGAAATTTGAATCCTAAAATAAGAACAGTTGAACATTGATTTATTTGTTTAAATTATCATGTTTTAAATGATTTCAAAATGCATTACTTTTGTATTTTAGGATAATCGCCAAGCTAAAACTTAAGTTCTCTTTTATATTTTTTTTATTTTCATAAACTCTATTAGATATTATATTTTTATTAAATTTTATGTTAATTTTAAGTTAGACTCTACAGATTTTCATATGTGAAAAGGACCATTAAAGTCTGGACCATGGTAAACGTGTAGACAATTAAAAAGTAAATTGAGTAAAAAAAGCGCAATTTCACAAGAGACAAATTAATGCAATAGTTATACCAACTCTGCTGATGAATATTTCTGACAAAATATCGAATCAAAGTTATTCACAGTGTTATCTCTTATATTTTGCATTGGTTGAATAATGTAGCTATTGTTTATTAAAGACTATTTAATGATAAACATAAGACATTGGACCTGTTTGCCTCCTGACCGTCTCATTTTACCGTGCCTATAGGGTCAAAAGGCACCAGGTGACAAACAGCAAAAAAAACACATTTTTACAATGATGAATTGGTTTGGGAGATTTGCTGAACCTGATCAGAAAGTTGTTTTTTCAATATGTAGTAGAGTTTATATAAAAACCGACATTTCAAAAAACCGGTTTTCGAATTTTAAATTTCCCAGAAAACCGGTTTGAACCGGTTTTCAAATTTTATATAAAAAATCAATTTTTGCTCGAATATTCTGTAATAATAAAAAAAATATATCGGCAAATTTAGTGTGATTTAAAGCAGTTTTTGACCGAATTTATTTAATGTTCAATTTTATGGAAAGTAAACAAATTTATTTTAATTTTAATTAGTAGAACAAAGAAATATTAGTTGATGTGGATTAAATGACTTTGGAAATAATTATTCGTTATTCATGCATCGTTTTCACATATAGGTTATAAATATTTTTATAATAGTGAAATAAAAGAGTTTGAATAAATAAAAATAATACATTTTTAATTAAAAAACTTTTAACTTTTAATTAAATAAAAAAAAATAGATACATATTGATACATAGTTGTTAATGTCAATTTTAATTCTAAAAACAATTAAACAAAACCCCGAGTTTATTCTATTCCGGACAATTTTAATTAATTAATTTCAAATATTTAATTATTTTTTAGTTAAATGAAATATGATTGCTAAAAGCTGAGCACGCCTATCGATTTGTTATTTAGAAGTGTCCTTCGTTTACTCACAAAATTTCGGCAAATTTTCCGTAATAGAAAATACTATCTCACTTGCAACCGAACTAAAGTGTGTTATGATAATTCTGGAAATTTTGTTCTTTTATTTGTGACTTCTAGGGCTAAAAACTCTTTTTTTTTTTTCATTTTAGTAGAGCAATTCACTCTTTCAACAAGAAGTCGCATTGATCTAAATTAATATATCCATTGATATAATAATCTAAATTAATATATACATTAGGCAAAAGATAACACAGAACCTTTTTAGGAATAGTACAGACTGATATGATTCCAAATTTTATCGAACCGATATGATTCCAAGTATCAAAACGCTTGCTTCCATCTAGTACATATATATATATATATATATATATATATATATATATATATATTTGTCATTTTCCATTTATACAATAAAAACCTGTATTTCCGCAAAAACGCCGGTTTTCGAATTTCATAATTTTCGTCAAAAAAACCGTTTTTGAAAACCGACAAACTTTAAATCTATATAAATAGGCTGTGATATAGTTTGTTTTGCTTTCAGAGTATAGTTGCTCAAAATTCAAATTAAATCTTTATGCCCTTATACAATTTTAGTGTTAGTGCTTAATTAATTATGATTATTGCCAATTTATGAATAATATATTTTACAGTTGAAAGAAAGTATAAATACCTACAAATGAAAAATATTGTTATGCGTCAAAATAATGCAATATTTTTTAGGTTTTTTGTATTATTAACATGGGTTGTATGCAATGCAAATATTATTAATTTTATGTTTTTATCAAAAAATTTATTGTTTTATTATTTCAACTTATTTTATAATTATTACTTAAAGTGTTCTTATTGCTCATATTTTAAATTTCGCAGTTTTTTTAAAGATTGTAATTGATTTTGAATATAATATACAAATTGAAAACAAAACATTGAAACTGTAAAAGGATGGAACAAATTTTTTTTCAAGGCGGTAGAAAGAGTACATAATGAGCTTTTTATGATACAAAAATATTAATAAACACCAAAATAGTATTATAAAAATTAAAAATTCATATAAAATATAGGCAAAAATACAAAAAATAACAAATTGTCAGAAATAGAAATAAAAATAACAGATTGTCAGAAGACAATCTCAATGGTATTTGAATGTTTGAGCGAATTATTGGAATAAAAAACATGTTAGTACTAAAACTTTCTGTAGGGTCAGATTCATATCTTTAAGTTTTTCAAAGGTTTCTGAACATTTTGGCATACCTTAGAAAAAATGGATGTATGTGTGTATGTGTGTGTATGTGTGGATACAAATTTTTGTCGACGATTTCGGGAACACCGATCAACCGATTTAAATAATTCGAAAAGCATTCCATTCGTATTGATAAGAAGACGTGCCGATTGGTTTTTGGCGAAGGCAGGTCTAGCCGTTTCGAAGATACGGGGCAAAAAGTGACAAAAACGGTAACTCAGTTTTTAAGAGAACGGAGCGCCCGATTTTAATAATTCAATTAACAAATGTTAATTGGACATATGTATATCAAATTATCAGATTTTTTAGAGATTTCAATAATGTGTATACATTTTGATATACAAGATTTTTAATTACGGTACGGGAAGTTCCAGCCTTACGGCACGATGCTAGTTTTAATATTAAATTCCACTTACTCTGAAAAATGAAGCCGTCGATCCTCCGGCCAATGCACCGTATTTGATCTTGGTCTGTTTGGCTAAATCCTCGGCGCTTTCTATCGGCGACTCCATGCGCTCGACAGTCAGGAACGCCGCCAAGTTAGCGGTGTACGAGGAAATCATGATTAATGTGAAAAACCACCACATTCCGGCTACCATTCTTGTAGATAAAGCTCTGAGACGTGGAAAAATATGAATATATTAGCATTGTCTAGATGGAAGAAATTCTTATATATTATCATGCAAATGTCTTAAACCGAAAAAATATTACAGCAGACAGAAGTAATAAGCATGACACCTTTATAACATATCAAAAGTCATTGTAATAATACTATTGGTTCATAGATGTATTTTCAAATATCTATATGTATGGTATATGTATATTGTTTTATTTTAACAAATTTGCCAGACATTTACTGATGAAATCATTATGCTCAAGCTCAAACGTACATAGGTTTTGTTTAAATTTCACCAAGTCTTAATTAAATAATTTTTATTTTGAGCATAAGAAATTGTTCTACTATTTCTAAGATACTATAATAAAGAATATTACATTAAAATATATCTAAAAGTGCAACTAATGTACATAAGTTTCACTAAAAAGGTTCAGTAATCAAGGTAAAACATCTCACTTATGACAGTAGCATAAAAATGAGTATTATATTTCATTATTAATAATGTGAGTAAGTAGTATATTAAAAAGTATAAGCAACCCGATTATGAGATTAGGATACAAGATTAATGCAAAAAAATAAAGACTTTGAAATAAATGGAAGGACATCATGAAAATTTTAAACTCTTGCTTGTGGATGTGCACTTAAAGTTTTAAGATTAACTGTAAAAAATTAATTTAGGAAAAATGACTTCTGCTTCAACACACACACACATATACAATGTATATATATATATATATATACATATAGTTAAAAAAATGTTTCAACAGCCCATTCGTCGAAATTAAAAAAATATGTTAAGAAAAAATAATTTTCTCTATTATACGATTTAACATTTGATGTGTGTCATATTTCAGTAATAATAATAATTTATTAATAATTTTTTTTTGACGGAAATTATCATAAAACCTTAATTATTAGAAGAAGGAAATTATATTATTTAAATGCATAATAGAGCAAAAAATGAATCTTCTCCGTAAAAGTGACAGAACCAATATGATCAAGGTAGATCTACATGTAGGTCAATGTCATCTACATTGTGGATAATAAAAAAAAAATTTTTCCTTAACTTCTTTTACATTTCGACAAATGGGCTGTTAAAACATTTTTTTCAAATATGTTTCAAGGTAAAAAAAACTATCAATATATTACTATCTCGTATGCTAGAGAGTTTGGTATATTATAGTATATAAAGTGTATATAGAAACAAAATGTATATAAGTCTATAAATTGTATATAGAAAAGATCTACAAAAAATAATTTCAAGTTAATAGAAACATGCATTAAATTTCAACTGTATTTTAATTGTAACTGATTAAAATTACTGAGCTTATTCTACTCTTATTAATTGAAATTTGAATATTTTTGAAGTTCATCTTATATTTGTTATATTAAACTTAATACTCTAATGTGCTTATCACAAATTATTTGGAAAAAATAATAGAAAATTTCAGAAAACTATTTCTAGTATATGATATACAAATAACTGAAATCTAGTTTAAAAGAAATTTATAAATAATTCATTACATATATTAGAAACTAACAAATGGGTTACATTCAAAACTATAGCTAACAATCATCTAACTTTATGTGTAAATATTTGAAACAAATATTTTTAAAAATTGCTCTTCCTACAGTATATTACAAACATGCACAAATCGTCATTATTCAACAAACCACAATTAAACACATCTTACCTTTAGAAACTCCATAATTTTGTACCATAAACTTTAATTAAATTTTAGACTGAATGATTTGAAGCAATAAAATGCATCAATAAAACTAATCTAGTGGATTAAATGAGGCAATAAACTTCTAAAATTCGTTCAAATAAGTTGATTTTGCTAATGCCAGTTTTATGGGTAATTATTCAAGATAATGAATATTCATATTCGTTTGTTAACGATCGTAAATTTCAGTTGAAATTTAATCGAAATATATTAACAAAGGTACTTCGTTAAATTGTGAGATATAGTACAAATCTACATATCTATTTGATTTTTATATAAGTGAGTTACTTATAATTTTAAATTGTACATGGATTACGAGTTACCATGTCGTTGATTACGAGTTAAAAATGTTACTTAAGTTTTATTTTAAAGAGTATTTTGAATATGTTGACTATATGAAAACTGCTGAAAAGTTTCATTCTTTCAAAATTGTAGAACATACTCGACGAAGAAAATATTTGAAGGAATAGGTAACTGAACGTAAACATTATCTGATACGTAATTATTTTTTAGAAAAAAATTGTAAATTATTATTTTTTTACTTGTAAAATGTCATAAAAATTGTTATTGTAACAAATTATAGTTATAAAACTTAGACACATATTATGGTTATATTACCTTATACCTCTGTTACCTACCTGTAAAAGTAGATTTCCGTTCCAACTCTGAATTAATTTTCTAGATTCATCTACTCATCAAACTATTATTAACTATATCTAATAGCGTTATTTATAAAGCCATTCGCCAATACAAAATCCCAAATCTGTTAAAATCTTACTTTGGCGATATATCGCAACCCTGTTGCATGAGCGATCCGATGGTGAACCAGAGCGAGTTCATCAGTGAGAACTGATTATTTTCCTGATTGTTTGTCTCGTTTCCTGGACAAGATGGATGTTGAGTACTTTCCCATTCGTAGGGGCTGAACCTAAAAACATGACCCAGACACAGAGGTACAGAACTACCGTGCAGAAGGCAAAGGTAAGAGAAAGTTTGAGAACATAAATAAAGTTGGATCTTCGGTGAACTTGGTGAGAATATCGTGGAATGGTAATGGCAAGCATTTTTTCATGATATATAATGATAATAATAATATTTAATTTGAAAATAATAAAAAATAAAAAATATATAAATAATGTGCTATATTCTTCTCAAAGACAATCAGGCGATGAGATTATATAATATAGTGATATTTATTATCAGATGAGATTTTATAAAATGTTTATAAAGAAATTATTAATATAACTCTCATAAAAATATATCACGTAAAAAAACAAACTATTATGATCACTATATTTTGAGAACGAACTATTTCGACTAATATATTTTAGAAATTGCAAAAGTGCTCGGAGCTATTCAACTTCATCATTTGAAAATTGGCGAGCAAATATCTCCATAAAATTTAGTATCACATATGAACTATTTCAAAAACTACTTTTTTTTGAAGTAAAACTTCTTCAGGCGAGACTAGGGTAAATCCGTACAAATGCAACGGAGTGCCAATGTTTCGTCATTCGCTCTCGATGACATCATTTCTATACGGGTCGATTGTGATTAGTCGTCGTGTATGTGAATACAGATCTGTCATTGTATGCGTACCGACATCAACGTTGTATGCGTACCGATATCAACAAAAAAATCGGTATAGATAAATAATTATTTTAAAGTTATATCGTAGTACAAATCTTGATTTAATGAAAAATGCCTGAATTAGAAGAATATTTTACCCTGTTACTTGAAGATAATAAATTGTGCCGTGAACTAAATGCAAGTGTATTGATTAGAAATTATTTCTATATTATTCGTAGTTTATATAAATCTTAGTTATTAAAATGGAAAACATTTTTATAGGGAAGATAGATATTACATCTGCTCAAAAAATGAAATTGTAACGGCAGCAAAAAAGTAAAAAAAAACAAGCAGTCAATGAATAAATATTAATTTTAATTACATGAAGTCTCAAACACACTTGCATGATGAGTAAAATTGTGAAAATAATATTTCTTTAGGCGTTGTTTAATATAATCCACTGTGTGAACGAATATTATAGAATTTATTAATCAGCAATTACTTCATTTCTCTAATAAAGGTTCATTTATAAATGCTAATTACAATGACAAACCGATCATGTCATATTTGAAGTATGACTTTTATTACATTATTGTTTTCAAATATTATAAATAATTTTAATGCTAATATAAATATATAATTTATAATTTATTATTATATAAATATATATGATCATTGACAATAATAATTGTGAGCATCACGAGTGTTACCATATTACAAATAAACATTATTCAAAATTGTTATATGATGTATTTATTTTTAATTAAATGCCATCTAGTACAGTAGCAAATAAGTTTTCTTTTTGAATATGCAATCTTTATAATTCATTATGTAGTATTTCATGTAGAAATGATATAAAACAAGACTGCGAACTAAATATTCAGAATGTGATATGGTATTACAAATATGAAATATAGAATACATTTTATAAAAATTATTAGATTGTATTTTAATTCCCATGTAAAAATTATATACATTAGATCTTTACACTTAGAAATTTGAAGGTAAAACGGAAATGATACTGTGTTTTTAAAATTTAGTTTTTATACATAAATACAAAAAATTTCGAACTAATCTTCTTAGAAATAAAATGCAATGATGTTAAAGGATATAAATTAGACTTGGTAAATCGGTAAGTTGAATTTTTATATATTTAAATGTGCCATGTAAAACGAAATAATTTAGAGAACAAAATATTTTAAATAAAATATTTCTTACAAAAAAATGAAGTACGATTGAACACCTATGAAACATTATATTGTAATTTTAATTCAATGTAAAAATGTTATAGATTTGCGAGCACGGCAAAATTGGAACTGTTTTTGTTAAATTTTGTTTATACTAATTTATGATCTTAAAACTTATGAATTAAAATAAATTGTCATATTAAAGTATAAAATGTTATTTTCATACTAGAATAATGAATGAAAAGAATGAAAAAAAAGTCTTGATTTTGAATAAAAATAAAATTTGAATATGATATTAAACTGAATTACTACAATATTATTATCTACCATTACAAACATTCTCGATATTCTCCACCATCGTAATGCAATACATTTAGATATCTGCATAGTTAACATGCTAGAGAGAAAGAACCTAAAATAGTTCAAAATCATTTCATAGCACGCAGAGCAAAATGCCTAGGAAGTAGGGCAACCAATTTGGCAATAATTGGCGGCTTACTTGGGCAGCAAGTCGCAACTTTGTTGCATCAGTGAACCGATAACGAACCAAAAACAATTCGGCAATGTGAATTTATTGTTCCCAGAGGGATCGGCTGGGCCTGCATTTGGTTCATGAGTCGAGCTTGACCATTCGTACGGTGAAAATCTGTATGTGCGATTATAATTTGAAAGTCTAATCTAAGCACGGAATTTTATAGGATCGCAATAAATTATATAAATATTGAAGATAAAAGTTAACTAGCATATTGTAATTTATAACAACACAGTATAGTTAAAATATTTTTTCATAAAATTATGTGCGAATAAAATATTTTGCATATTTGTATTATTAATTCCAACTAATGGTAATGCCAAACTTTACTTCAGCAAAAAAATTGAAAATTCCGATTAATGTCAATGCCAAATTATATTTCAGCGAAAAATAATAAAAAATTGCATACTACAATTCGCAGCAACACTGTACAATTTTCTGAATTTTGAAGAATATAAATGACAAATTTTACTTTTACTACGGCAAAATATTATAGAACGATATTTCATAAATAATTTATCGATTAGTTATTTTACCCTATATTTTATAACTCTATAGATATAGTTCTTAGGTGAAAAATACCAAGGTTTCATGAATGCTATCCTTTGTTTGAATTATTTAAAAAATAAGCCTATTAAAAAAGCATTAACGACATTTATACACCATTATAAGAAAAGTGAAAAACTTATATTTTATGAGAGGTGTTCACATAAAATATATCTATTTAACATTCATCAGATCAAAAATATTTTTTCAAAATGTTAATTCATGATTACAATATTGATCCACTACTTGAAATTATGCGAATGGTTTTATACTTTGTTACGTAACATTTTTAACTAATGTCATCTAGTTGAAAAATTTTATAAAAAGAGCCTTTATATGTTAAATTACCCAAGTCCACAAAAAACGTTGTTTGTATTAGATGTGTGGTATATATGTTTTTCAATGTAGTTTTTACCGCTGAATACGATTCTAAAGTCAAATTTGGGGGTCAAATGACACAAAACATTTTTTTAAAAAAAACTACAAAATCTCCGATCTAGTCATTCGTGTGCTCGATAAATAAAATTTTATAATTTCTGCCATTTCCCTGCCCTTTTTACCTTAAATATTAAGTATTCACTTAAATGATCTATTACATTTTTTTGTAGAATATAACAGTAATTTGCAAACTTATTTTCAGATATACATTTGCAAACATGTTTGCAGATGTTTGCAAATTAATGTTGAATTATATGAAAAAAGACCATGGATTATTTAATTAAAACTTAATTGCAACTCAATAGTCATTGAATGTAAAAACGGTAGAAATTATAAGGTTTTAAGTATCATGCAGACAAATTACTAGATAGGGTATTTTGTTTTTTGAAGTAAAACTTCTTTAGGCGCGACTAGAGTGTAAATCCGTACAAAATCAAAGTAAGTGCGTTACGGCCGAGTCGAGTGCCAATGATTCGTCATTCGCTCTCGATGATATCATTTTTTTATACGGTCGATTGTGATTGGTCGTCGTATATGTGAATAGAGATCTGTCGTTGTATGCGTACCAATATCAATAAGAAAATCGCCATAGATTAAACATTTTAAAATTTCATCGCAGTACTAATCTTGATTTAATGAAAAATGCCTGAATCAGAAGAGTATTTTACCCTGTTTCTTGAAAATAATAAAACAAATTAAACATTTGTGCCATGCACTAAACGTAAGTTCATTGATTAGAAACTATTTTTATATTATTCGTAGTTTCTATAAATCTTTGGAGTTATTAAAATGGAAAATATTTTTTAGGCAAGACAGATATTACAGCTGCTAAAGGAATAAGATTATATCGCCAGCGAAAAAGTAAAAAAAATACAAGCAGTAAATGAATGTATGTTAATTTTAATTACATGAAGTTCTCCAAACACTATGATGGGTAAAGTTGCGAAAACAATATTTGTTTAGGCGTTGTTTTAATCCACTGTGTGAACAAATATTATAGAATTTATTAATCAGCAATTACTTCATTTCTCTAATGAAGGTTCATTTCTAAATGCTAATTACAATGACAAACCTATCATGTTATATTTGAAGACTTTAATTCCATTATTGTTTTCTAATATTATAAATATTTTTAATGCTATTATGAATATATAATTTATAATTTATTTTTATATAAATATGCATAATGGTTGAAATTAATAAATGTGTGCATCATGAGTGTTACAAAATTTCTAATAAACATTATTCAAAATTGTTTTCTGATGTATTTATTTTTAATTTAAATGCTATCTCGTACAATAGCAAAAAAGTTTTACTTCAATGGCGTGTGAACCTTACGCGCACTCTTTTCTTTATTTTTCTTTAATTTTTTACTATTTAACTTTCAACTTTTATTCTAGATTTGTATTCAGCGGTGAAATCTACATTAGAAAACATATGCCGCAAACCAATTTAGAAAACCTTCTTTTTCAGGACCTGTGTTATCGATCGTTTTGTTTTATAAATTTTTCAAAATTTGTCATATATGGAGGTAATCACTTAATATATATATATATTAATCATATCCAGATTATAAACACCAATTATAAAACATTAAAATAAAGTATATTTTTTCTTACCGAGCTAGTATGAAAAGAAGCACTGAAACTCCCAAGTAGGCTGTTGCCATATAAATCCACACATCAAGCGACAATGGTGACAAGAATGAGAACAGATTTGGTGGTTGTTTTACTGGTTTTCTGTACAACACACTGATTCCGAGATTCATGAAAGGCATAGTAAAATCCACGACCTATAAAATAATATTTTAGCTGTTAGATTATCAGTTTGCAAGAACAAAAAACATAGTTGTTCATACAATTCATCAACATCGTTTTTACAAGTAGTAGTCAATAGAAATCGAATCTCAAACGAATAAAAACTTGTTGTTGATTTTATTGTCTCATGGAATTTCTCGTTCTAGCAAACAATGAATGAATTGTCAACATAAAGAAATCGAATTGAATAGAAGCTGTATCAGATAAATGCATTCGTTAGTATTTTCAGAAAACTTTGCTATGATTGAGAATTGGTGATAGACTTCAAATCCAATTAGGTAATGTGTAGTAAATCAATTGGTACATTTTAACCACATTAGTTTATGAATACTTGATTATTAAATAAAATAAAATATAAGTAATAATAAATAAATAAAATATAATTAATAATAATATAAGTAATAATTCTTGACAGTAAAAAAAAATCATGCAAATGAACATATACGTACAACTTTATAAAAGGTTTTGTTCATAAATGACTTCATAATGTTCTATTCATAATTTTATAAATGGCGTACCAAAACGTTTAAAAATTGATGTTTGTATGAGCTTAAAAATATTTAAGATTGTATATAAACTATTTTATAAAATGTTTCTTAGTCACATCGTGCAATAAATGACTGAATATTATGATTTTATGGTTTTATAGTAAACAAATACATAATTACGAATTTCGCATAGATTTTTTCAGGTTATAATAATATTAGTTAATAATTCTAGACAGGAAAAAAAGTCATCGAATGTAGTACAATTTCTTGCAAATCATTTAAGAAAAATGTTAAAAACTTATTTTTTTTTAATGTTTCTTGGCCATGTCGTGCGATGTGCAAATATGTCATAAATAATTATAAAATAATTTTTTTTTTTATTTATTTAACTCTATTACTACCAGTAAAAATCATATCATCGGATATAGTACGATTTCTTATTACTAAAAAAAAATCCTGAAATCGACTTAAAATAACTTTTGTGTATAAATTGGAGAAAATAATTTATAACTTACTACATTTTATGAAGAAGAATTTTTAATTAATTATTATGAATAAATAGAGGAAGTTTAGCAGACGATGACTGAAAATGAAAAGGTATGGGTTGTGCTTTTTTGTTTAAAAAAATAATCTGAATGTAAAAAAAATAATCAAAATTATCATTACTAAATTAGTGATTTAAGCATTACAGAAAAATCAAAATAAGGCACGTTCTCTTCACTTTTAAATAAAGTACTGCATCCCAGAAAAGGTTACGAAAAATTGTAGAAGTAAATATATAACAATAACACATTAAAAATAAAAGAAATTAAATTTAGAAGATAAATAAAATGAACGTACAAGAAGTAAAGCATTAACTATCAAATAATGAATTATTCAAATGTGAAAATATTGTATGACATTGCCTAAAATGTTATATAGATCTCAACATATAAATGAGATATTTGAACATGTAAAAATTATAATATATATATATATATATATATATATATATATACATGTAACAATTATAATATATTATATACATATGTATATATACGAGGTGTGTTCAAAAAGAATTACTAATAATTAAATTTCGCGGGTCTGGAGTGTCTGATTGTCAAAATTTTCTTTTTATTGTGTTGGTATACATGCCCCTAAAGTATGATGAAATTTTCAGCTATATTCACTGTTTACTTTGTCTGTGGTAGTCGCTAAGGTTCGACGTGTTTTTCTGAGCTCGGCGATTTTTACAATGGAAGAATTGAAAAGTCAAAGAATTTGTATTAAATTTTGCGTAAAAAATGAAATGAAGTGTTGCAAAGTGCAAAAATTCACCAGATATGGCTCCGTGTGACTTTTTCCTATTCCCAAAGTTGAAGAGACCCATGAAAGGACGGCGGTTTTCCTCGATTGAAGAAAATCGCTGAGAGTGCTCAAGGACATATCAAAAAGTGAATATCAAGGGTGCTTCGAAAATTGGAAAAAACGCTGGCATAAGTGTATTATATCTGGGGGGGGACTACTTTGAAGGGGACCACATTAATGTAGACGAATAAATAAATATTTTTTTGAAAAAACGAAAATTCCGGGTACTTTTTGAACAGACCTCGTATATATATATATATATATATATATATACATATGTATGTATTATTGTGTATTTTATAAAAAGTCAATTATGATAAAGTTCGATGCTCGAGTAAAACTTCATTAATAAGGCGAGTGTGAACAGAATTCGAAATGTATCCGTACTTGATGATGTCTGCTCACGTTACCCAATTAGTAAAAAGGTTCACAACAAAATTAATTCAAAGGCATAATTACCTGTTCCCTTTCATAAGTGATCGTCAAATCAGCAACTGCCAAATCAGCCCTTTGCTCTAATAGCTCCCTCATCATTCCGTCCCATTCCCTTGTTTGTTTATTATATGACCCGTACCTACCATCGGGTGCCAAACGAAATGAAAAATTGAAACCTAATATTTTTGATATCTCATAAATTAAATCTACGGCGTATCCTTCGAATTGGGCGTTTCCACTTAGCTTTTCCGATGAGTCTTTGCGCATACAGTATGGTGAACTCTGGAAAGGAAATGATAAGAATAGTTATGTGAAAAGCTTTTTTATATAGTTTTTAGGGACCACGTCATTTAACAATTTGAAGGTCGAAGCATAGGATACTAAAGCATAAAAGCAAAAGTTTGAATAGTAAAAAGTCATCTATTGAGAAGGAAGGAAAGTAAAGGTAAATTAGAAGTGGAGTTCACATGCCACGGATGTTCGGACACCAAAAATTATTATGTTGATTTTTAGTATTTTTTTAGTTTAAAATTATATTGTCAAAATATAGAATGGTACAACACCGGGATTTCTTGATTCCGAATACCGGGATTCCGGACGATATTTGTCCGGTATTCAATACTGGTATTTATACAAAAATACCGGTATTTCGGGACTACCAGTATTTTGTTAAAAATTGAACTAACGCAATACACATTCACAAGACTTACACTGTGTATGTGTATTGCCAGCTCGGCTCAGCCACGTATGACACATCGACAAGCGGCAAGTTAAAGCAATTGTTTATATATTATATACGATAGCTACCCAATGAATAGAACCCATTTATAAAAAAATATTATTCGACGTGTATTGTTCTTATATCTTATTCGTTATCAATAATTTTTAAGCAAAATATACAATCGACACGATTTAATTTTTCATGTTGTATATTTTCTTGTCAATCATTCGTATTTATTTATTATTTTAATATAACGACAATTCACTAAGTCAAATCATCGAATGATAATATTGGTCTTGGTGGTGGATGACCTATTTCTTATGCGTACATTGCAGCTCCTTAGAAATTTTTTATATCTAATTGAAATTTGATTATGATCTAAATACACTAAACGTGGGTACAATTGTCGACTAATAATGTGCTTCTATTATTATTAATGTATGGTATTGACATTACGAAAACACGAAAGCATTTAGGAAAATTTATGTACCCCAAAGTCTGATGATGGATCTTTGATAAAATCAAAAACAAATGATTGAAATTATATCATTTGCATAGGTTTTAATTGAAATTCGTAAGTCGTGCAAAATGTTTTTTAAAAATGTTACAAATGATAAATCAACTTAAAACTGAGTTTTTTCTTATTTTGTACCATAACCATCAATAATTATTGCTCTCTATAAAAGAATAAGCATTTTATAATTATTTTGCGTGTATAAACATTGTACTGCGTTTCAACTGTAATGTCAGATTAATAATATATTTTTGATATTATAACAAAATCTAAAGTTAGTATTAATGAGATACGTGTTAAATTATTTACAAATGAAATTAGACACAAAATGAATGTTATCATTTATTATTAATGTGACTAAAATGCAAAAAATATGCACATAGAGACAGAAATCAAATTTAATCAGCAAAATCTTGAGACATTTATGATTCGAAAATTTTGTTTGATGTTTAGTTATCATTTAGTATTAATATGACTAAACACAAAAGCTTTGAAATGAGAATTTTAAAACTCTAAATTAGAGTACACAACCAGAAGCAAAAGTTCATGAAAATCTTGAGACTTAACTTTTTATGAAAAACTTATGTTGTCCAAAAATTTTATGTAAATTAGTAATTCTTACATACTGTTGATATGTTGATAATAGTAAAAATTCTATTTGACTATTAAAATTATTACAGAACCAATGCGTTCAGAGCTTTTACTTACTACGTATTTTTTATTATTTTGTCATTTATTTTTTTTATCATTTTTGACTTTGTTGATAGTACATTGACCATTTTCAATTACAATTATTATGCAATATTTTTTTATAATTTTATGTTTCTAGATTTAATAAAAGTTATAAACATAGGGCTCCATATATTCTTATATCTGACAATAATAGTTATAATTTTAATACTAATAAAATTAGTTGAAAGAGAGATTTCCAATTTTATTATCTGCTTCCATAATTTCATGAATAATTATAATAATTATAATTATTATGGAAGTTAATAAATATAATTAGTTATTTATTTGTAGTTAGTTATTTTAAAGATGGAGAAGTGTTAATTATTATTGCAATGTCAATTTGTGGTTGAACACATGCAAAATTTTAATATATTTGTAAACATTATTAAGTATTAAATAAAATATTATTACTTACCAATATAGTCGTAACAATCAAAGTTCTATTCTGTAATATCTCACTAATTTCTTTTTGCGATTCTCTATATGATCTCGTGAAATTCACACCTTGCGTAGAATTCCACGTTCCAATTTGCCGCAGTCCATCTTTACTCAATTCCACGATATCGAGAAGAAAATCGCTTCGGAAACCTTGATGATCAAATTTGATAACACCTGTTAATCCTCGCATCTCCACCTGTAAAGCATATGTATCAAATACATAATCCAAAAGGGAAAAATAATAAGAAATCTATCACAATTTTATCTTTCTCGAGCAATATTGTTCTATTTAATGCAACCAGCTAAGGAGGACATTGCTATGTCTTCTGATGTACTAACAGTGCTAATTTGATATAATTAAACTGTAACTACTTATCGAACAATTAAATCACTGTAACCAATTTAAACACATTATCTCAACTAGTTGTGAGTAGCATTTTGCCTCAAGGTAAGTTTTACTAAATTTCGTATACAACATATAGTCAACTGAATCAATGTGAATTTTATTTTCAGCTATTTAGGTAAAATGTTAACCTTAATTTATGGCAATAGTAAAATTTTGGTCTTTACTAAAAACTGATAATGCGAATTTCAAATGATGTCTTTGAAACATATGTACTTATATTATCTGTAATTGTATAAATTTAATTAATTTGATCTACACATGCCATTTCATCTGTTTCAAGTTTTAAAAATGTAATTTGTAAAAATGTAATTAAGTGTTGACGCCAACTGCAATCAGTAGTGCCTAACACGGTACGTTCATATGCCATGGCATATATTCTGATTGGAATCGCTTAAGAGCGGGACAAAATTTCAAACTTCGGTGAAATTTTATTTTTTCAGAATTTGTTGATTTCTAACGCATTCTACTAATTATAAAAAAATGTCTTGGGTGATCGTCGCTAAATTTTATCGAGTTACATCGAATGGCGATGTATAATGGCGAATCGATCGAGCCGTTTTTGAGAAAAAACTTTTTCCAAATTTGGTCTCATTCGATTCAGAATGACTTGAAACGCGTAGAAAACATATAATTAGCGAATAATTTTTTTTTGACGAGAACAAATTTTTTCTTCTGAATGTTGAACACACAACTTTTTTGACAGGGCAACTTTCACAAATTTTCAGCTAAATTGTTGCTGAATTGTATAATATATTTAAAATACGAAAGTTGGTGCTACATAAAGATGCCAATTTATAATTCAATTTTCAATTGAATAGAGAGTTTTTCATTATTTCAAATATTGCCTGCGATTATTAGGTATATAAGTATTATTTTTTCAACGAATTTTTGAAAACTATTTTACGGCGAAATACAAATTGTGAAAACATTCAAATTTGTTGCGCAGAAACTTGTATGGAAAATATTTTTATGGTATTTTTTCATGGGTGGTAAATTTCGTTTTTAGATGTAACTCGATTTGTTTATTATTGGAAAATTTATTTTGATACCATATACAATTAAACTGTTACATAAGCATTATTATTACTATTATTCTGTAAAATCAATTCATCATCTGATATTGACAGCAGTGAAATGTTCGACACGAGTTCACAAACAGATTAATAAAATATATATAGAATTTTGCTATATAATACGTATCATATAATTGAATTATTTGAACAGTTTGGGGATAAAATAGAAGATTAGTATAGATGACGATTAATACTATCAATTCATATACACATGGATATATATATATATATATATATATATATATATATATATATATATCAATGGTAGCCAGTACGTCAAAAACTGACAAAGTAAATATTTTAATCAGTAAAGATTGAACCAAGAAGATTGCACAAAAAATTACTTATAATTTTTAATTATTATTAATACATAGATAAACAAGTTTATATGCATGCAAAACAAATACCATGTAGAAACAGGATAAATTTAAATCACATATTTTTTATTATATTTTTGTCATATAAATCCATATATATTCTAGATTTGAACTCCTTTAATGCAGATTATTTTAAAACGTCCGGTACTAGGTTCCATTTTTTAAAATCATATTTTTGTTACCAAAGTTTGATTGATAGTATTAATTATTTTTTAGCAAAGGTTGGTTTTTGTTAATTTAGTTTGATTTATAACTTTGTTATCGAACATAAGTTATAATTTAATAAACATTTCGTAAAATATTTTTTGATTTATTTATAAATATTTGTGCGTGCCCGGCACTTGGGGACTTCCGCTTAATTTTCTCCACATTGCACCTGGTTGATCTGCAACTTTGTTTGCAATTTGAAAATCTGAATACGTGTTGGCTAAATACAGTTTTAGTCTAAAAAAATCCAATAGATCATTTAATTGAATCAATTGTTATTCAAGATAGAAATGGCCAGGAAATGATAAAAATTATGAATTTTTAAGTATCAAGCAGTAGAATTACTAGATCGGAGATTTTGTCGATATTTTAATTTTTTTTTTATTTTTTGTCATTTAGCTCTTAATTTTAACTTTAGTTTCGTGTTCAACGGTAAAAGCTACATATGTCGCACGACCAATACGAACAACTTTTTTTTGTTTTGTGGACCTGTGTAATTATACAGGACAGTAGTGATGATAAATGAACATTATCAATAAATTAATTGGATACATTTTGTGAGACGGAATCAACGGGTTTCTAAAAATACTTTGTATGCCGATTAACTGGGATAATCATCAATCAGTTCTTGTATTTTTGGAGTTAATTTCATTTCCTCATTCATATGTTTCATGCTACAAACGTGTCTAATTTTCCCTGTTTTATCCGTACCTATGTACAAAAATAAATTCAATGACATCAAATATTCATTAAATCCTATTCCGATAATACTCACAATTTTCATGTAATTAATTAAACTGTACCCATGGGGCCACGTATCTTGCGCATCACAGGACAGCGGCTGAATATCAATTTGTTGACTCGTGTCCAAGTCGTGAAGGGCTTTTGCAAACAGCAAAACAGCATCGTACATTAACGCAGTTTCCGCCTGCAAAAATAGGTTCCATGTCGAACAATATTTACCGATTTGATATATATGGGTGAAATACAATTCAGGAAAAACATATTGGACTTACCTTGATCACTGTCGAGTTTTCCTAAAACAAATAAAAAAAATTTAGAGAATATTTAATTGTGACGAGAATTAGGACATGCAATATATATAGAAACTAGTAGGGTGCATGGCATCGTGCATTAAGATAAATTGCTGGAATTTCCCGTAACGAAATCCAAAATCTTGGTACGGAACCCAAAAAAAAACACAAAATGTGTACACATTATTAAAATCTCTATAAAATATTTGATAATTTGAAGTACATATGTCCAATAAACATTTTTGACCGCCAAATGACATTTTTTAACTTATTTTTATTGAGAGTCCATACCCGCTGCCTTCCCAAAAAACTAAAACTAGGAATCGAATGTTATTTGAACCATTCAAATCGGTTGATCCGTGCGCCCAAAAACGTGAACGAAAACAAAAATGCGGACACACAAAACACACACACATACATCCATTTTTTTTCTGAGGTATGCCAAAATGTTCAAAAACCTTCAAAACGTAAAGATATGCAAAAATTTTCTTTTTCGATTTTTGACCCATTACTATAACTTATCCTACGGGAAGTTAATAATTACTCGCTAAAAGGGATATATAATCATTTTGTAATTCACTATACTTTGATCTACTTTTTGTATAAGATGATTTCAAACGCTTCTAAAGTGCCACAAGCGACTTATGAAAATAATATTTCTATGTATAACAGCTAACTAAATTTAGCTTATTGACTTTCCGTAGAGTAAGTAGTAGTAATCGTCCAAAAATAAAAAAAAAGGATTTACATATCTTTAAACTTCAGAAGTTTCTGAATATTTAGGCATAGCTTAGAAAAAAATGGATGTGTGTGTGTGACTGAGTGTTTTGTGTGGAAACCATTTTTTGTCTACAATTTTGGACAGACAGATCATTCGATTTGAATAATTCGATAAAGAGACGTGAAAATTAGTTTTTGGTTAAGATTGGTCCAGCCATTTCGGAGATACGAAGCAAAAAAGAACAAAGCATCCGATTTGAATGATTCAAAAAATATTACACTTGTATTAAAGTAATGAAGAATTAGTAAATTTTTTGTGAAGACAAGTTCAGCGGTTTTGGAGATTCAGAAAAAAAGTTAAAAAGCTGTAATTTAACGGTCAAAGGTCATATATTTTCGACAGAATGGATTAATCAACATGAATCGAAAATTAATTAAAAAGTTTCAAGAAATTTAAAAATTATCAAACTTCAAAAAAACCTTCAAAACATTTTAGTTTGCAAGAAATTTTAAGTTTTAAAAAAAAATAGTGAATAATTCAGCATTTTTAGAAGCATTTCTTAGCTTCGAAAAATTTTTAGTTACTTTACTCGAAGTTCAAGTAAAATTTGCCTTAAAGCATGACACCATGCACCGCTATAGTTATTAATAATATTAATGCTATCACTTTTAAAAAAAATTATCGATTGAAATAAATATGTGTCATCAATCGAACATGCATCTATAAACAAATATTATTTATTATTGTCTTTTATTTTTGTTGTTTGTTACAATATTTTTGTATGAATTGAGTGATTCTAACAGTTTTTGAACTTGTGAATTATGAATATTAAGTAAAAAAATTTAGTTAATTTAATTGAATGATCAATAAATAGTAAATTTATCAATATTGTAAGCATTTCATATTCAAAATTAAAATCCATTAAGAATATGTATTTGTTTTATCAGCAGACTTTAGTAGGTACTATTAGTACCGTACTAAAAAATTCTATTAATGAAAGCAATAGATATAATCTGATATTGATAAAAACAATCCAATCAATCCAAAATATATAAAACATCGGTGTCCATATAATAATATTGCAACTGTAATAATTTCACGTTAATCTGCTTTTTGTATTGAACGGATTTGAAACATGATAAAACAATGTATCGAGTGATAACAAAATAATAAATACCGATATAGGGAGATTTAATATAAATTGATTTGTAAATTGGTTTATAAATTGAAATATTACCCGTGTCACAAATGCAGCTGCGTCCAACCTTCTTCCAAGCCTTTGCTCTCCTTGTATCCATTCTCTGACTGCTTTTTGGACATCTGGCTTTTCTGGATCTACCAGTCTTAAGGCTGTGATGTTGGTGCCACCGTATTTAAATTCTTCTAAATCTACTGAGTGAATATCCTGAAAAAAATAGTATATTTTCTATGTTATTTAACAGAAATAATTTCACACAATTAATATTGCAATATTATTTAAAAATTTATGATAAATAAAGAATCTTAAATACTTTTTAACTTCCCGTAGGACAAGTTATAGTAATCGCAAAAAAATCGAAAATGAAAATTTTTATATATCTTTATGTTTCAAAGGTTTCTGAATATTTTGGCATACCTTAGAAAAAATGAATGTATGTGTGTGTGAGTGTTTATGCGTGTGTGTGTGTGCGTGTGTGTGCGGATACAAATTTTCGTCGACGATTTCGGGAACACCGATCAACCGATTTGAATACTTCAAGAAGTATTCGATTTGTATTGATAAGGATTGCTGATTAGTTTTACGGGGCAAAAAGTGCCAAAAATGGTAACTCAGTTTTTAAGAGAACGAAGCGTCCGATTTTGATAATTCAAAAAACATTTTACTTGTATTGACAAGAAGAATTGGTCAAAATTTCATGAAGGCAGGTCTAGCGGTTTCGGAAATCTAATGAAAAAAGTAAAAAAAATGCCATTTGGCGGTCAAAAATGATCATTAGACATATGCACATCAAATTATCTGATATTTTATAGAGATTTTAACAATAAGTATAAATTTTGTTTACATTCCTATGAGTTCCGTACCAATGTTTATCCGTTAGACGCCGACGCGGCGCCTACGCGCTTTGACATTTAGCCTCTATGCAGTTAAAGCAGTACGATTGCTTTGAAAAAAAGTTCAGAATTTCCAATTAGGTCAAAATAAAGAAAATATTTTTTTTTAATAAAAATTTTTTTTTCCAAAAAAATGTAATTTTTTGTCAACTTTATAGTTTTTCAAAATTCTATTTTCTTTAATAATTTTTTTTCAAAAATGTTAATAGTTTTTAAAACAATAATAATTTTTTGTACGGAAAGTTCCAACAATTTGTCTTAAGACACGATGCCTTAATTGCCTTAAGACAGAATTCCACTTACAGCTAGTTACTTTAAGAAATAAGCAATTCACTTAAAAAAATAAGCAAAAAAGTAATATTCTTATTTTGTATAAATACTATTGTAAGTCACAAAATACTTGCGATTAATGCCCCTTTATAACTGGTACATATAACATAAGTTTTTATATTTTTAATTTGAAGCAAAAACACTGAAAAAGGGATATTTTAATCTGAAAACATATTTAAATCTTTGTTTTACCGCCCATGTTCTTTTACCACTGTGCTATTACAAACTTTACAAATGTTACCCGATTTTATTAATATGCCAAATGTCATTCGAAAGTTTATATAAAATTTTTGCTCACAGAGTTGAGTGAGATGTATTTAGATTATAATTATTATAAATTGTGTAAATATATATTCACAAAATTTAAATTCCAAGTTTTTGCGAAAAACATAACTAAGACCATAATAAAAGCATTAGCCAGTTCTCATAAAAATATTGTCGTTAATAAAAAATATTACAATACTGACTTGGAACCCTTTGTTGTTTCATATAAAGTTGCATTTTTTATTGTATTATAAGTTATTAGAAGGCATTTAGATTTTCGAAGTAAAGTAAAAATTATTACTATTTCATGAACTTTCATAAGTACTTTAAAAATGTGTTAATAATAAAATTGTATAACATTATATTCAAATAATATAAGATTGTGTTCAGAAAATTATTTAAAAAATTTATCTTGTTAAAGTAGCAAAAAATATTGTCGAAATAATAAACGTTAACAAATGGGATTATAATTGTAATACCTTAAATACGAGATTTTGTTAACAACTCTACTAACAGCTACTATTTTAAAATGCAATTCAAATTATATTAGTTTGTTCATATATGAGATTATGTTCGAAAAATTATACAAAACATATAATTACTACAAATTAACTTTAATAATCCAGAAATGTATGAATGCAAAAATGCAGTGATTTTTTTTAGAGAAAGGTATTTTTTTGCGAAAAACCATTTACTAAATAAAAAACATTAATAAAATCGTATACCATATTAATATCACTATTATTTTATTAATTCATGTTAATATCATAAAGATTGTGTTGAATTCAATTGTGTAATATGCGATCTTAACCAGAAATTCAAGTAATATTTTATATTGATGCAAAAATAAATAGTGATTATTTCTTATGTATTTGTATTTATATAGGATGTCCAGTAGTCAACCTATTATAAGAAGTTTGCATCAAACAAGTTTTTGATTTCACAAATCTACATTTGCATAGTCTAGTAGTTTTACTTGCTTTTGAATACGTTTATTTTTGTCTCTTAAGTAATATTTATGGGTCCGTTTAAACTTTATGTAAATCCAAGTAATTAATTTAAAATTAAAATTGAGATACGCTATGACGAATACGGAATTTCACAGTAGCATAGATAAGGAACGCATTAGCAAACTATGCACGAACGTAGCTACTAGTGATGTGCCAAGTCGAATCAAGTGATTCGAATCATTCGAATCAAGCCTTTAACGACTTGATTCGAATCAGATTTTACTTGATTCGAATCAACTCGCATCAAGCCGCGAAATATTTACTGTGATAAAATATGTATTTTTTCATAAATATAAAATTTTTCATAAATATAAATATAAAAAAATGTTTTAATTTAATTCAATATTATAATAATATAAAAAATAAATATCATAAATATAAAAAATAAATAATGAATTAAATCATGCGAGCCACCCGACTTTAATATGCTTAAATGTATCAGCCAACTCCAATCGTCTTTGTGTGACTTTAACCGCATTCATCGACTAACTATATCATCCGACTTCATATGACTCAAACCGAATCAAGCGGCGATATGAGTTGTTCCGACTTCATATGAGCCAACTCGAATCAAGCGGCGTTATGAGTTGTTCCGACTTCATGAGCCAAACCGAATCAAGCGGCGTTACGAGTTATTCCGACTTCAATTCTGATTCGAATCATCCCGACTTCAAGCCGTTCGAGCGATATGAGTTAACCGTATGGGCGATACAATGCGTCGTCGTTCTTGTGTGTTTATTTATTTTACGGAGCGCTGAGAGCGATTTTATTCGTGAAATATCAATACCAAATTTTGATAATAATTAAGTGTTTTAGATTTTAAATGTTATCAGAATAAACCACTCGAAATTATGAAACGAGTTTCGGGAATCTTTCAATATAATTCTCTTTTGAAACAATACTAAACACCAGAAAGTCAGTAAATAATATGTTAACTTCTGATTATGTAAGTAATGGCAAATTCACATTAATGAAATTAACTTTCAGCTCTCAGTTTAGATGCGATCCTTTACTGATTACATAGTAAAATAAACAATCGACCCATGATTCCAAATATTATTTTATATGCTTTAGTGATGCACAATTGTTTGGTAATCTATTATTGTAAATTAATTTGAAGATATGTTTTAGCCGTCCTCAAAATTACATCATTTTTAATAATTTTCAGAATATACTTTTTGATAGTGATTTATGTTTACAATTTCTACTTTGTCGGTTATATTGGTTAAACTGACAATTTTGATTATAAATTTGGATCACTTTTACTAAATTAATACATCCATGATTTTTTTTTGTCCATATATATACTTGATTCGAGTTGATTCGAATCATGATTCGAATCAGGTTTTTTTCTGATTCGAATCATTCGAATCGGGAATTTTTCGAGTCGGCACATCACTAGTAGCTACTATCATTTTGCGAAACTGCCTTACAACAAGGACTCTCGAATAGTTCTAAGATAGTCACTACGTATATATGGCTATCAGATTTAAGCACTTTGAATACACCAAGTTCGAGATGCCAAAATGTAACTGAGAATAAATAGATATTTTTGAAACTTAATCATATACAAGCTAGAGTCTTTTGACCTGTATTGGCTCAATATTTCCAATTCTAGCTAATATTTAATTAATTATCTACCAAATAGCTGTATTCGATTATGCTGTATTATATTATACATATAAATGCCATTCTGTTACATCTACTTATTAAGATGAAAAATAGCCCACGTATCTTAAGTTGAGCTAAATTAGATGCATCTTTGAGTGAAATATCCCTTTCAGCATCCCAATATATATTAATGGATTACATGCATAAGAGTATTTTTGGACTCTCTGTAATTATACTGTAAAACCAAACAACATACATCAGTACCCATAACACATTGCAAGCGACCAACCATCGAAAAATGATCAAAAAAATTCTTAGTTATTGTCTAAAATAGAAATAGTATCCATTCAATAGAGCGTTCTGGGTCTTATTCTGTACTGTGCTCCAATTTACATAAAAATATGGAATTATGTCTATCTTGCCCTTAAGCTCAAATGTGAATATGGGAACAGTTTGGACACCCTGGGGGATAATAACACCCCTTTTTTCTGATATAATTTTTATTTTCAAAATACCGTCAGATATCGATAGAAGGACTAATATTAGGTGAAAATGCTTTATAAAGTTTTCATCATATTTAAGTTACTGGCTATTAACAATTTGTATTTTGACGTTTATCTAAGAATGTAAGAATTAGTTATATCGAGATGTTTAAAAAGTAAGTAACCTTTTATAGATTTTTTTAATTAGCTAAATATTTATATATCTATATGGACACATATTTGTATAGATATCTTGATTAACTTAACATACATACGTTTTTTTATGGAGAATGTGTAAAATCGTTCGAAGAATGCTCTCATATGTGTGATATTTATGAAATTGGTAGTAATATTGTTATGTTATTCTAGATTTTTATTAATTTTTTTATATAATTAAATCACATTTAAGAACAAATTTAATTTATAACATTGATAAAATATAATATAACATATTGTTCAATGTGAACAAAATTTATAACTAGATTTAAATTTTTGCCTTATCACAAGTAGCATAAGGTGAACTTGTCGATATGTGTGAATAATTTAAGACCTAAGAATGAATAAAAAATGAGAATTATTAACTACAAATTTATAGTTGTGATTATAAAATTTTGAAC